GGACACCAAGGACCTGGGGTCCAACCAAACACCCCAACAATAACACATGGTTCACCTGGTGCTTTTTCCACGTTTCAGTGGTTTATGGACATTTTTCTTTTGAGACTCAGCGTTCTCCATGTGTCTATAAATTCCTATCTCATGTGAATAAATATCAAGCAGTCTAAAATGAGAATTCTAAAATCCTTAGCAGCTGGGTGCAGTAGCGCCTATAATCTCAGCGGTTTTAGAGGCTGAGGCAGGAGGATCACAAGTTCAACAAGTTCAAGGCCAGCCTCAGCAACTGAAGGAGGCCCTAAGCAACTTAGTAAGACCTTGTCTCAAAATTTTAAAAATGTGAAAAATGGGACTGGGGATGTAGCTCCATAGTAAAGTGTCTCTGGTTTCAATCCCCAGCAAATAAACAAAGTCCTCAGCAAATTTCTAGGGTTTTATCTATGTTTGGGGCTTGGTTTCTGTTGTTGTCACTGTTGTTTGTTTGTTTGGGTACCAGGGATTGACCCCAGGGGCACTTAACCAGGAGCCACATCCCCAGTCCTTTTATTTTTTTATTTTGAGGGTCTTGCTAAATTGCTCAGGGCCACACTAAGTTGCCCAGGCTTGAACCTGCCATCCTCCTGCGTCAGCCTCCAGCCTGGCTGCAGTGACAGGCACGMACCTCCGCACCCAGCTGTGCTGTTCTTCCTGCTACTGTTGTCTTTTTGTTTGGGGTTTTCCGGTCTGGGAGACTGAGCCTAAGGCACCTGACCACGAGCTACACTCTCAGTCCTTCTATTTATTTATTTTATTTTGAGAAAGGCTCTCAATTGCTAAGGCTGACTTTAAACTTGGGGATTCTCCTGCCTCAGCCTCCCAAGTGGTTGGGTTTACCCAGTCACAGGGATYGTGGGTGGGCGTGCACCACCACACCCAGCCTGGGATTTTTTTCTTGAGACAGGAAACCTGTCACTATTCACTGGTTGATCTGAGGGCCTCACTTTAACTAAAAAGAAAAGGCTAGTAGTTTCAGAGTAGTTAGGCAGAGGAGGGTAGAGAGAAAAGTAGAGGTACAGTAGGAAATAAACCAATTACTGCAATTTATTCATTAATCATTGATTAAGTGCTTTTTGTGTGTGTGTGATGCTGAGGATTGAACCCAGGGCCTTGTGCATGTGAGGCAAGCACCCCAYCAACTGAGCCATATCCCCAGCCCATTTATTAAGCTTTTTATTTGCCTTTTGCAAGGAGTCTTAGAAACTTTCTTATCCATTAATCCTTTAGAAGCCACATCCCCAGCGCTTTTTTTTTTTTTTTTTTTTTTTTTTTTTTTTTTTTTTTTTTTTTTTTTTTTTTTTTTGAGACAGGTTCTCACTAAGTTGCTTTGGGTCTCTTTAAATTGCTAAGGCTGGTCTTGAACTTGTGATCCCCTCCCTGCCTCAGCTTCCTAAGCTGCACCATCTTGATCAGCTAAAGGCTTTTTTGAGCAGTCAGCAGTTCTGAATTTAGCAGCACAAACCCACAAGTGGCTCAAGGCTCCACCCAAGGGCCATTTCCTAGTTAGGGGTGGGGGCTGTAACTCACTGTGAAGCATTCGTCTAGCCAAGCATGAGCCCTAGATTCAATCCTCAACACTCAAAAAACAAACTGCACTAACCAAGTTGCCTGGTTAGAGTTAGTKGGCAGTTTCTATTTGGTAAAGCTTAAGCTTTATTGTCCTAAGCTATGGCCATTCATGTGAAGTTAGATTTTACTTAGTACTGGTGTTGAGCTGGGTTTGGGGGTTGCCTACATAGGAGCTGTGAGAAATAGAAAGGACTGTGGTCCGTTTTCAGAATCTGGTATTTAGCCTTAAATGTAAAATTGGGATGTAAGCAAGGCAGCCAGAGGAAAAGAGAACAGGCAGAAAGTTACGAGCGGTTAACTCACATAATAGCGCCATGGCCTATGGATGTGGCAGATCCAAAGTCCATGCACCTGRACAGACCTTTGACAAACAGGAGGGGGGGTCAGGGTCGGCCTGACCAACAGGCACACAAAACTAGGAATTCAGAGCTGCACATCAGAAAGCACTCRCCCCAAGACGGCTTTCCCTCCGCAAGAAAACAAAGGGAGGTGGGAACAACGAAAGGCACATTTCTTTAAATAACCTATAGGAGACCATAAAACCTGGGTGTGTTGGGGAAGACTGCAAAGCCCAGAGTGCTCAGCCAATAAGAAAGCGGGGTACCTTGTGCTTTCAGGGATAAAATGCTGATTGTACCCAATCTGGGTGTCCCTGACCACCAGACATCTGATCTTGCAAGATCATCATTAAAGTCTCACTTTTTTTAAAAATTTTTAATATTTATTTTTTAGTTCTCGGCGGATACAACATCTTTGTTGGTATGTGGTGCTGAGGATCGAACCCGGGCCGCACGCATGCCAGGTGAGCGCGCTACCGCTTGAGCCACATCCCCAGCCCTAAAGTCTCACTTTTTTTTTTTTTTAGTACCTGGGGAGTGAACCCAGGGGCATTCAACCACTGAGCCACATCCCCAGCCCTATTTTGTATTTTATTTAGAGACAAGAGTTGCTTAAAGCCTCGCCATTGCAGAGGCTGGCTTTGAATTTGAGATTCTCCTGTCTCAGCCTCCCGAGGTGCTGGGATTAGAGGTGTGTGCCACCTTGCCTGGCAAAGTCACACTTTTTTTTTTTTTTTTTGCTATATCTGGTGTCTCCAAGCCCATTTGGGTTGGGGTAGATGAGGGTGTTTCTCATAGGAACTCAGGGTGCCAGAGTCACCTCAGGGTATTGGTCTTCTAATGAATTCTGCTAGCACCATTTAAGAGTAAAACACCAGCCGGGTGCCATGGTCCACGCCTGTAATCCTGGCAGCTCGGGAGGCTGAGGCAGGAGGATGGCAAGTTCAAAGCCCGCCCAGTAAAAGCCAGGCGCTAAACAACTCAGTGAGACCCTGTCTCTAAATAAAATACAAAATAGAGCTGGGGGTGGCTCAGCGGTCGAGTGCCCCTGAGTTCAATTCCTGGTACCCACCCCCCCACACACAATAAAAAGAGTAAAACACCAAAGTGCTGCCCGAATCTGGGGGCTTGCGGGTGGGGCTGTTCTCTCCTGGACTGGGAATAAGGTGATCTGAGCCTCTTCCAGCCCAACACTCTGGTAGATGAAGGAGAAGCAGCCTGAGGGCGTCAACAACCAGGTCTAAATCACTTACTTACCTTCCTGCTTTAGACTCTAGCACCCTTCTCCCCACCCCGTGACTGCTGATGTGGCTGAGCTCTGCTTTTACAATACATTTCCAGAATTCAGCTGTGATGGAGAAAGGGCCAGTTGCCCATCAACTTAGAAGCAGGAGATCTGAAGAGTCTAGTAACAACTTTTTTTTTTTTTTTTTTTTTTTTGGCAGGGGCTGAAACTCAAATCCCTCAGTACTCCCCCACAAAAATTAAAAATAATAATGAAATTAAAATTAAAAAATGGATTTGAAACAGATCAAATCTGAGTTTTATAGTAGCTACCAGTGTGTGTGTGTGTGTGTGTGTGTGTGTGTGTGTGTGTGTGTTTGTACTGGGGATTGAACTCAGGAACACTTGATCACTAAGCGACAGGCCCATCCCTATTTTGCATTTTAGAGACAGGGTCTCACTGAGTTGCTTAGTGCCTCACTGTTGCTGAGGCTGGCTTTGAACTCTCGATCCTCCTGCCTCAGCCTCCTGAGTCACTGGGATTACAGGCGTGCACCACTGCGCCCGGCCAGTAGTGACCATTATGAATATGGTATAATTTGCTTCTACTTGAACATCTGAATGAGCTTCCTCAACCATAGAATGAAGATAATAAAACCTGCTCCATGTTGGTAGAAAGGCAATAATGGGGGGAGGGGAGAGAAAACCCCAAACGTTTATTTAAAGCGGTTCTTCCAACAATTTTTATAGAATAATATGATTAGAGTGTTGTTTTTTTTTTTTTAACCTTACTGCACTGAATTCTGCTTATAAGACTATGAGAAACTCAACAGATGAAACCCAAGTGACAATGAGGAATTTAGTCGCCGTGCTCAAGCCTGGACTTGGGGTAACACTCTCAGACATTCCAACCTCAGTGTAATTTGAAGCACTCTCCTTGACAGGTGACCCTCCTGTCGCAGGCTGCTAGAGACCCGAAAATTAAGAACTTCACCCAGTTGCTCTAAGGTCATCACCACAAAAGAAGAATATTGAGTTACACACTGAACACTGCGGATAGAGTCTGGATTACTATGAGAAAAAGACAAAGTAGAAAATCCACAAGGCTTATGAGCCTCCAAAGAAGGCCGAAAAGATGATKGGCCTCAAGATCAAGGTCGACTGTGGATAACTCCATACTGATTCATGCAAACAAAACAGACGATCAAATTGTGTGAAAAGAGAAAGAACCAACAAAAGAGCGACCCTCCACCCACCGGGAACAGTCCTGCAGGACAGAGAGGGACAGTCCTGAGCTAACGCGCTGTCTAATGTGATTAGATACAAACAAAAAGAGAAGGGGGGGGGAGTGGAAAGTCCCTCGGCCCAAAGTTTGTGCCCAGGGAGAAAGAGAATTATTAAAAGTTACTCAGACAGAAAAGAGAAAGGAGATGTGGAAGAAGATGTTTACTCAAATCCACTTTGTTGGAAATGGCTTTACAGGAAAAGCACCTAAAATAGGAGAATTCATTAGCCAATGGGCTCACACTTCCAGAAGGCCCCACTAAGAAATGCTGAACTAAGAGCCACCTTTTGCCTCCTGACACAGAGTCCCCCATCTCCTTGCATGATTTGGGGTGTTGATGACAGAGCTATTGTCACTGAGGGGAAAGAAAGGGACTTGGGCCTGGAAACACAGCACACAGTATTATTGGGGGGCAATATGGTCCCGTCTCCAAATCCTAAAGATGGCGGCTGGGAAATGCTGTCTCACAGGTTTGACTTCCTCCAAGTGACTCCGCCTAATTACAGGAGGCCGCACACCAGACAGAACACAGCACTTCAACCACACAGCCCGAGAGCGCCAGGAGCATGATTTATTAAGTTGTGGAAAGAAAAATGACAACAAAACAAAACATTAAAATGGCCTCTTTTTGTTTAGTTTGGAGACAGGTTCTTGCTTTGTTGCCGAGGCTGGTCTCAAACTCCAGGGCTCCAGCGATCCTTGGGCCAAAGTCTCAGGAAGGCTGGGATCACAGGTGTGCAGCTCTGTGCCTGCCAACGTGGCCCCGTCTTACAAATTGGGCTTTGTTTGGAGGGGTCTGCCTGGGTTTAGATGTTCATAGAATATTCAATCAATTTTGAAAGCAGTCATACAGTGTCTTAATTCTTTGAATACATTGGACTTAATAAAATGTATCATCCAAAAACCAAATAATTAAAATCCATTAAAAAAATGGACATCTTATTTCATCAGTGTTGGCATCAACGAGAGGGTACCTAGCAATGCAGACCGGTCGTTACTGGAAAAACCAGTGGTACCACTGGAAAAATGTGTTGGCTCAAAAATTAGGGTATTCTTAAATATGGAGGGTAAGCAAGGAGACTTTGTCACATCTGAGACCTCACCTCACCTCTAGAATCTTCCACCTCACTTTTTTTTTTTTTTTTTTGGTGAGGGGTACCAGGGATTGAACTCAGGAGCATTCGTCCTCTGAGCCACATTCCCAGCCCTAATTTTGTATTTTATTTAGAGACAGGGTCTCATTGAGTTGCTGAGCGCCGGGCTTTTGCTGAGGCTGGCTTTGAACTTGCAATCCTCCTGTCCCAGGCTCCCAAGCCGCTGGGATTACAGGCACGTGCCATGCACCCAGTGTCCACCTTACTTTTTAATCACTGATTCTAGGACTTGTAACATTTACTCAGGGTGATGTCTGTTACGTTCATAATGGATTTATATTACGTTAAGAGCGTGTGAGAGAAGACATACTACACCAAATAGAAAACAACTCACACCAAGAAGAACCTTCCCCTCTGTAATTAACCTCATCTTCCCCATACCGTAAGTCAATAGATAACTATTTTTAAACTTCTTTCCCCTCTTACTCATCATATATAGTAAGACCTACTTGGAGCTGTATTTTCGACTTGAAACATTTTTTTTTTAAAAAAAGGTGACAAAATACTAAAACCTGTGTATCTCTAGCATTTCCTATATGCTAAACTTAAGATTGTATACTTAATCCTTTCAGGATGATATTTAAAATTGGTTTAGATTTTATTTTTAAAAAGAAATGACTATAATCTGGGTGTGGTGGAGCACATTGTAATCCCAGCAACTCAGGAGGCTGAGGCAGGAGGATCTCCAGTTCCAGGCCAGCCATCTCAACTTAGCAAGACACTGTCTCAAAATAAAAATAAAAAGGGATAGGGATGTAGCTCAGTGGTGTAGCACTTGCCTAACAAGTGTGAAGCCTTAGACAATCCCCAGTACTGCTAAAAAAAAGAGAGAGAGAGAGAGAGAGAGAGAGAGAGAGAGAGAGAGAGAGAGAGAGAAAGAACAAAAAGCCCACTTCTAATCCTTGGAACCTGTGACTATGTCACATAGCACATGGGAATTTAAGGAGCACATAGAATTTAGGTTGCTAATCAGCTGAGCTTAACATAGGAAATTGATCTGGCTTGTGCAGTGAGCCCATGTCATTACAGGGCCCTTAACTGTAGAAGAAGCAGACAAGGGAGATGATAAGACTCAGCCCACTATTTCTGGCCTTGAAGATGCAGGAGCAGCCACAAACCAGGGAAGGTGGGTGGCCTGAGAGTCTGGGAGAAGCAAGGAAATAAATTCTCCCCATCATCCTCCAGAAGGGACTGCAGCTGGGCAGGCAGACCCTCCAATGTTAGCCCAATGAGACTTCTCATCTGCAGAGCTGTAAGACAATAACCTTATGTTCTTCTAAGCCAYCAGGTATGTGGTAATTTGTGACAGCATCAGTAGAAACTAATACAGGAATTTAACCAATCAAAAGCTCCACAGAGCAAAAAGAGGATAAAGGTAACTAACCAAYTCTTGGGTCAGTCTTTTAACCAGTTTGCTAACTTACTGGTAGGGTTTAGATATGGCCTGAGTGTGTCCCCCAAAGAATCGTGTGTTGCAAGCTTGGTTCCCAGAGTGGCAGTGTTGAAGTGGTGGAACCTCTAAGAGATGTGCCCAGTGGAAGGTCCATGGGTCATGGGGCATCACCCTTGGAAGGGATTGGGGTGATCTGTGGAGTGAGTTCTCATAAAGGCAGGTTGTTTCTCCCACCATGTTGGACACAGTCAGGAGCCTGTGACTTGCTGACATCATGCCATTTGGACTTTCTAGCCACGAGAACCCTGAGTCAAATAACCAATTTTACTTTATAAGGTACCCAGCCTGAGATATTTTGTTATAGCTACAGAAAATGGAAGAATACACTTACATATAAAATACTCCATTCCGCTTTATCCCAGAAGATCATAAAAACGGAACCACCCAGAAAACAGAGATCTTCCTAGTCTCAATTTTGAGTTAAACGATAGAAGAAACTGTGACCAACCCACATATGTAATTTCATAGAGCCCAATCTTGGGGATGGGCAGCCTGAACAGGCTGACATAAAAAGTTCTTTAGGCTGAATAATTTATAAGAATCGAAGTTTATGTCTCACCGTCCCGGAGGCTGGCAAGTCTAGGATCAAGGGGCCACGGCAGTGTCTGGTGAGGGCCCCCTCTCTGCTTCCCGGGGGGCTCCTCTGGGTCCTCACATGGTGGAAGAAGGCTGGGGTGCTGCCTTCAACCTCTTTTATAAGGTCACCCATCCCATTCAGAGGGTGCCAGGACTTAGTCATTTCTCAAAAAAAAACTCACCTCATGATATTACCACATTYGGGGTTCAGTATCAACATAGGAATTTGGGGGACACCATACTCAGGCCACAGCAGAGAGAATAACCTTCCAAAGCAGTGGCTCTCCCTGTGCAGTAAGATGGTGAACGTGATCAGCTGTCTCCTGGGCTGGTCTCTGATGTTCCACTCACTTACCTACATGATGGCTTTTCTCACCCCCGGGACACCTCATTCAGCGTCACATCAGAGGGTTCTCAAAAAGGAACCCTTTAGAAAATAGCCCAGTCTCTCCGTCCTGAGTTCGATTTATTCATTGAATCGTCAGAGGCGTCCCCAAGCCAGTCCCTAAAGGCCAGGCTTCCTGCTAGCCGTGACTGTCCCGTGGCTGCCCGCCTCTCCCCGCCCGCCCCTGGCTCCTCTAGGGTTTCAGCCGGAGACAGCAGGCTCGTCCTCTGTCCTTGAGCGACCTCTCCATAAGTGATGCACCCTGTGGCCCCGGGGAAGCCACACTTCATGTCAGTGTAGAAAGGACTTTAACCCTCCCGGTGCATGTGCGCTGGGGAGGCAGGAAGGGTAGAGGATCCAGGCCTCCGTCCTAACTAAGGTCGAGAGGAAGCTACCAAGCACTACCCTGCCAGGGTTTTTCCTGGGCTCTGCTGAGGCAGAAGGAAAAGAAAACTAAAGAATGACACCATGCTCCCTGTCCCCAGGAGCCCACCATAAACAACTGGAGGAAAGAAGGGTCCCGTGGGAGGCAGGACCTTGACCTGCAGTTCCTACCGCTGGGCTCCMAGACACTTCCCGCACTGCCTTCAGCCAGATCTCCTGAGGGCGCCCGGGGAGGGAGACACGAACCCCCAACAGCTCCTCAACTGATCATGGTGACAACCGCTCATTCGGGACGCTCTAAATTGCACACTTAAAAGAGGTTACAGTGGCGCTGGGCCCAGTCCTAGGTACTCGGGAGACTGAGGCAAGAGGATCACAAGCCCCAGGTCAGCTGGGGCAACTTAGCAAGACCCTGACTCAAAATAAAAGGAYGGGATATACCCCCTGGCTGGATCCCCAGTTCACAAACACACACAAAAAATTAAGATGGTAAATTTTGTTTYATGTTCTGTTCACTTCTAAAGCCTCAGATTCACTCTCCATTCTCTTCTTTATTCACCCCCACGACCAGCCCCTTAGGGACTCTGGTCACGTGTTCCTCCAGGAAACATCTGAACGGTCCCCTCCATCTGCACGGCCCTAGCCCAGCTGCCCTTCCCCTCCTGACTCACCCRCCGCCCGCTTCCCCAGCAGCCAGAGTCAGCTTTTGAATGCTTTGCTAGGATCACAGTGTCCCCTGCCTGAAACAATAGGTTCCCCGGGTCCTTGGGATGAATGCCAAGCTTCCTCCCAGGTGTCCAGGCCCCKCAGGCCCACCTCTTGCCACTTCTTGCTCCCCATGTCCCAGCCACTCTGTTTGTCTTCCTGGTCATTTAACAGGCTACACACACTCCCACCCCAGGGCCTTTGCTCTTGCTGTTTCCTGCCCTGGGAATGTGCATCCCCAGGTCTCCGCATAGCCGACTCTTCCTGGCACTCAGCCCTCAGCCTGTCACCTCTCTGTCCCAGGTCCCCCTTGCATTTTCCTCATAGCCCTTGTCCCTCCTTCATATTTTCTCGTCTATTTTTAAAACCCCAGGTGGTCCACCTGCTCCCCGAGAACCCAACGCTACATAGAACAGGATCCCGCACTGCTGTCCTCAGCTCCTGGAAGAGCCCATGACAAACGTGCTCAGCAAGGATTTAGAGCGATGGGTGAAGAATTAGAGTGGGAATATCACTTGTAGTGGGTTAAGTGGTGTCCCCAAAGAGACAYGTCCCTGCCCTAGAACCTGCAATACACCCTGATTAGGAAGAAAAACAGTCTGCAGATACAGTGAAGGGTCTCGGGATGACATCATGCTGCATGACCCTGATRGGCCTGACATCTGATGACAGGCGTTCTTAGGAACACTGACGGGGGGAAGGCTCAGAGAAACAGAGGGGGCGAGGCTGCCCCCTGCACCCTCCAGCATCCAAAGACGCAAGGATGGGTCCTCCCCTAGAGCTCAGGAAGCCCAAGGTTCTGCCAACACCTTGATTTCTGATTCCTGGTTTCAACAACAAACCCCAGTGTTTGTAGTGCTTTGCTACAGCAATCCTAGGAAACCACCGTCTCTCAAGGGCCTGCCCTCAGGATCCTTGGTCTCCTGTTATATTCTTCATGACTGTCCATTCCCGCTTCCGGGGTACAGTTCTATGACTGCGCTGCTAAAGGACACGAGTCACTTTTTCCTCCCACCCTTTTTCTTAACTCTCTGTTGGAGGATGAATTATATTCCCCCAAAGACACGTGGAAGTCCCAGTACCTGTGAATGTGACCTTAGTAGAAACAGGATGCTCACAGATGGGATCAAGTTAAAACATGATATATTGCAATGGGGGTGGGCATTAGCCCAACGACTGGTGTCTTCATAAGGAGAGGGGAACTTTGACACAGGGACACACACACACACACAGAGGGAACACAGGAAAGACGGAGGCAGAAGCCGGAGTGGTACAGCAAGAYGCCATGAGATACTAAGGCTATCAACCACCAGAACTGAAGACCCCTAGTTTAGGAAGGATTTTTCCCCTAGAGTCTTCAGAGGATGCATAGTCTAACCTCCCTTGATTTCAGATATTTAGCCTCCAAAACTGTAAGAGAATAAACTCCTGTTGTTCCAAGCCCCCAGCTTGAGGACCCCTGTTAGGGCAGCCTTAGGACATTCATGACTCCCCCGTTCACCTTGCTTTGAACTCCTCTGCCTGAGCGGGGTGCGTTCACTTTGGTGCTAACCAGCTACGCAGCCAGTATGTGATTATCTTCCCCTTGGTTTTCAGAGTTCCACCACCAGATTGCTAAGGGGAGGCTGTTAGCACTTGACTTCACAGCAATTTGCTAGGTGGTGTCCGAGCAGGACTCGGTAAATAGCCACTGAATGATGGGTATGGAATATCAACGCGTCCGCGGCTCAGATGGTGGTTAGAAAAAAGATGACGCAGGCATAATGATAGATCCAGAGAACTTGGCAGCCACGAAAACTCCGGGCTGACATGGTGTGGGTTTCATTTCAGCCTTCTCTGCACCTAGTCTGCCGTTCCTTCGACCTCAGCCTTTAGATCCTGCTGCCTGAGTGGCCCTGAGCCTTGTCACGGCGGGGAGGATTTGTAATCCTTGTTCTCTGGCTCCTACTGTAGAATTGTCAAAATAACCGCCTGCCGCGTACCAAGAGGGCCAAAGGTCAGCACACTTGGTTCTCGGTTCTTTGTTTGCGCCATCTGTCTGGGCACGTCCAAGTCTGGCAAGGTTCACTGGGACCTTCCGAAGCAAAAGAGGAAGGGACGGTGGAAGAGAAATTAAGAGGAGAAAAGTCTACGAGGAAGCCCCAGRGAAGAGCAAGACCCTCAGAGTTGGTGGGTCCTTGGAAAGTGGTTCTGAACTATCTAATCTGGGGCTCCTGGCCTCGGGGCATGAAGAAGGACCCCTGGGTGGGTAGTTAAGGAAGCAGCCACCTTAGGGGAGAGTGGACGACCTTTTCCTAAGTCCCCGCCTCTGGCTTCTTCCACTTCCCGTTCCTACTCAGCCTCTCTGGGGGTCCGTGTGCTCCTCTCCAACAGAGCTGACTTCTCACTTTGTAGGAGGGATGGACTGCGGCCAGGGTACATGGGGGTAGCGTCCCGGACAGAGAGGAGAGGGAAGTCTCTCTTTTCCACTTCTCTCTTTTTTGTCCTGTTTCATGGGCTTTTCCCCTTTTATTTCCAAATGCAGAAAGGAGGAAAAAAAAAATTAGTGTAAAGCAAGAAGAAGAGCAAAGGGCAGACGGGAGTTGGAAGGTGATAAAAACGAGGACCGGAAACGCAGGCACTGCCCACGTCACCTAGGAAGGGGTTCTCTGCAGGTCACCCCAGGAAGGCCCGGCCAGCAAGCAGATGAGGGGGCTCCATACCTTCTAGAGAGTTAGGGCTCAGGCTGGATTCCTTCTCTATGGGTAGAAATTCTAAACCTCAGGCAACAGCGATTAAAAGTGGCCGCTGAAGACAATGCACTTGGCAGGGGAGAGGCTGCCACCTGCCTCAGAAGGTACAGCCTGAGAAGTGAGGCGGGGACATAGAAGATGGGGACACACAGGCACGCGCACACCCCCCCACACGTGTGCACACACTGACTGAGAGCAAGTCTGCCTGGGCTTTGGCTCAGGTTAGAATGTTCTGAATGGGTCCTGGCCATGGCCAAGGCAGGATGGAGGCAGGAGGCTGGAGGCTGGCCTTTGTGCGGCAGTGCTGGGATGGCCCCAGTGTGAATTTCTAACAATTATTTAATTCTCGAATAATTCAAGTGGCAGGGAGCGGTAGCGCAGGCCTGTAATCCCAGCRGCTCAGGAGGCTGAGGAAGAGGATAGTGAGTTCAAAGCCAGCCTCAGCAACAGCAAGGTGCTAAGCAACTCAGGGAGACCCTGTCTCTAAATAAAATACAACACAGGGCTGAGGATGTGGCTCAGTGGTCGAGTGCCCCCGAGTTCAATCCCCAGTACCCAAAACAATAATACAACTGCACACACAAAATAAAATTTATACTTTAAAATAAAACCCAAGTCCTAAACATGCATAGAGCTTCCCACAATCTGGATTTTGCTAGTCACACCACAACAGTGCAGCCCAATGTGTCCTTCTGTCTTCATTATCTGCAAATTGACAGCTGAATCAGAGCCTCACAGAGATCCAGGTCCATCTGGGGACCCCATGGTGGCCGCACTGAATGGACCAAGCCCAGCTGGAGAGACGAGAGAAAGATGGCACAGCTCTGGAGGGACAGACATGCAGGCTGGATCGGGGACCTCAGCAGCTCCCTGAAGAGTTCACGTCCTGAGGCCGCAATCTCTGTGTTGGGCCACTTGGGCTCGGAAATTGGAGCAGGCCCAGTGCAGATGGTACAATGCCATTGTCCTTCCTGGTGCTGGGTCTGTACTAAGACGAGCACTTTCCATACATTATCTCATTTAATCCTTATCTAGAGAAAAGAAACGGAAGCACCTGGAGTTTAAAGCAACTAGACGCAGAATTCACTGAAGGTAAGAAATAGAACCCAATTCAAACCACACAACTGAGGCGAGACGCAGCACTCTTAACTCAGCACCCAACTGGGGCACAGCAAGGGCTGGTAGCCAGCAGCCACTGCTGGATGCCCTCCCTGGAGCCTTCTCTATGGTCTGAAAAGGACCAATTCAGAAGATCCAGGCTCCTGGGAGGGGTCTAAGTGCCTTCCAGCAGAGGACTTGGGACAATACAATT